TTTGTATATACGAATGACTTACCTCTCAGCGCTCTGTTTATTTCCCATTGTGTGGGTATGTTATGCGTAATATTTTTCGACCGCCAATAGATTCTTTAAGAGACAAAAAAAAGTTTTAATTTTTAGCAGAAAGCAAACAGAGTTTTCGTGATATATTTCCGCGGATCAGTCTCAGTTGTTATGCGGATTATTATTATTATTATACATTGATTTCATACTGTATTCTCGTTTCTGATTGATCGAAACCCTCCAAATAAATTTCAATATACGGTTAAATTTGGTATGGTAGAAAACGCGGGTGCGGATAGGCGGATGCGGATAGATTCTTGCGGATAATTGTATATAATGCGGGTAAATTCTTGCGGATAATGGTAGAAAATGCGGGTAAATTCTTGCGGATAATGGTAGAAAATGCTGGTAAATTCTTGCGGATAATGGTAGAAAATGCGGGTAAATTTTTGTGGATAATGGTAGAAAATGCTGGTAAATTATCTTATCATCAAACAATCGAAATTAAACTGTTATTTTACAGATATTTCGCACAAGAGGCATGTTTTGACAAGAAACTGTCAACTCTTTACCTTTATTTACTAATTTAGTAACTGAATCAGCTATTTTAAAGACATTTTTATGAAGCGTACCCGAAATTATATGTCGAACTAACCATAGGCAGCCCAATGGCGAATGGTTTTATTTGATTTAAAAATGTACACTTTGATGAAATTCACACATATGTCATTTATTTACATGCTAACATACTTAAATCCTGTTACTTACAACGGACGACTTGCGTGTCTGACATAGCAATGTAGGTATAGCTATTATATAGTATAAGATCCTAATGTAGGCAACTTCAATCACAATATTCACATGGACACGTGCAAAGAATCCGAAAATACTTCAATTTATCCCTAAAACTAAGCTAAAATAACAAAAGAAATAAAATCTGCGATAGTTTTACTATACACTGACTATATTTTAATAATTAAAACAAGACGCCTGTTCTGGCGTTAACTCCGGCGCACGTGCCAGTCTTCAATATAGAGCTTCTGAACATAAACAATACAGTTCATATTCGCATTTAGATGCCTTGCGAACCTAAATGTTCGATCGCGAAATTCAGAAGCACATCGTACTTTAAAAAGTATAGAAGTTAAATCGTTCAAGAATGTAAATAAACGGTATGATACATTCGCTTTGTCTTACACTTTGCCTTTGGAATTCGCGCTTATATAGTTATATTAAATCTTCAATCCTGTGCAAACTACGACGAGTCAAAGCGCCCATACACGACCACATCATCTTGTTAAACGGCGAAATAGCAGCGATATTACTAAAATAGGACCAGAATCTACACGTATTAAATAAATTCTTACCCCAATTCAGTCTAAACTTAATCGAAAAGCATGAAAAGAACGGTTTATTTGTTCCTCTTGAAGGAATTGCCGTATCATGCGAGCGAAATCGAATCGCGCATCGGAAAATTAGCCAAAGCTGTGCACCACAACTCTTGGGAGACAAGACTGGGACATAGATAAATCCAATCACATACACATTTTAAATACTAGAATGTTTCGCGCCATTACAGACTTGCGACGACGAAAAATAATAAAAAAAACAATAAAAAAAAAAACAAAAACAAAACAAAACCGAGGCGAATTTTCAACTCCGTCGCTGACGCCGGAGTAATAAGTTATGGAAGCGAGAAAATGCGAAAAGTTTTTGTTATTTTACTTTTTTTGGAATGGGCCGATGCTGGACCCGCGCTGTTGACTTTTAAGAACGTTTGAAAATGACGAGTTTGTAATCTGATTGGCTGTCACAACAGCGAGAACAAAAACAGCCAATGAGATAAAAATTCGTCATTTTCAAACGTTCTCAAAAGTCAACAAGCGTGTCATAACGTGTTGCTGAAATTACATTATTGGGAATTGTCATAACAGTACCGAGTTTCTGCAATATGTAAAATGGAAGTTGCTCTAATTTCAAATTTGTCTCGTGCCTTAGACAGCCGTGTCCCAAAAAAATCCCCCCTATGGAAATGTTGGAATTTAAATGCATGATCAAGGCAGTAGTGTGTAAATAGTATAGTTATTAGGTTGAGGCATTCAATTAAAGCGTCTTGCTTTCAATTGGGTTTATCGTAATATTAAGGCAATTATAAGATTCTAACAAAGGCTTGATTTCAATAGAGGGGACATTTTTTTGGGACACCCTGTATAATTTTATTATAACAAGGCGGCCATCTTTGATTGCGAAATCCTGCGTGTTGGTAATCACTTGAATTTCTGGAGATGGAATCGGAGCCGTATTACCGTATTTATAGTGAAACTATAGAGCTCTCTAGTATAGACCTGACACCGACGAATATAATTGGAAGATTTACCTTTCTCTCGGTAAAAAATAAAAAATTTACATCTATGAACGGTTCATATATTACTATTAGGCTCCATTTATCGCTTGCGCGGTGCAGCCCATATCGTAACATAAATAAATGAAGACTAATACTCTGGCGGCAATGATCGGCCGGATGAGCTCCGTTTTCTGCGCGAGGACCGCATTATATAGAATCATAACAGTACTCTCGTTTGGATAAATAAATGGCAATGTTTAATAATGAAAACAAATGTAGCAAATTACATGCAAGAATATGGCTACATTTTTTATTATCATGCATAGCACAGAAAAGGTGGGGAGCTAAAAAACGCCCAAGTGTAATTAATTAGAAAGTGGAAGCGCGAAATGGGTTAGTTGAGGGAGGGAGGGTGAAGGAACGATATTCAGGCCGCGACGAAATGTTAAACAATGACCTTAAAATGTTGTCCATGCTCACTTTTATACGGTAGACGTGAAGCGTGATATGTAAATTTACTGAGATGTAGCAATATTCCACGGGAAAATCAACAGGTTGAAAAAGTTTCGCTGCGATGAATATATCCCCTAAAACCCATGCCACGTTCCTCACAGTCCTTGAATAGCCCGTATAATCCCCGCGAAAGCAATAAAATGATTATTCGCTTAAGCAAATAACTGTTTTACACGGTACCGGGCGACCTTAGAACCAGTCTTAAAGAAAACCACGGAACCGAACAAACTAGTCTTAGTCCCTTAACAGGACGAGTTCGCGACCTAAAAAAATCAGTCGAAAACTGACTGCATGATATATTGCTTTTTAAATCGCGTAGAGAACTTAGCGGGAGCCGTATAAGTAATCAATATAAAGCTCTCCAGTATAGACCTGACACGGTCGAATATTGTTCTGATGTCTTTTTACTTGGTAAATGTAATTGAAGTATTTACCTTCCTCTTGGTATAAATTTACTGTAAACTATTCCTATTAATCTTGTAGCTTGCCGGATAATCCGCGTGTATGCATGCATGATTTCTTAGTGTTTCAAATTAAGCGTTGCCAGAAATCTCCTACTGGTCGCTGTTGGATGTAAACCACATTTTATTCAATTTATGTGGGTCGTATGTCGTCGTTCGGCGAAAATTGGTATTTTAAGGACATTTAGTTTTTCCTAAGAATATTCTGCACCGCTTTGAACAATTATAGACATGTATATGCTCAAAAATGTGAAAAAGTGCAGCTCATAAACAAATGGCTGTTACGAAAAAAATGATGTGTCAAAATGTTTTTATTCGAAGCCATTCAACCGGTTATTACTCGGCGTCAGCGACGGAGTTGAAAATTCGCCTCGGTTTTGTTTTGTTTTGTTTTTGTTTTTTTTATTTTTTTCTTTATTATTTTTCGTCGTCGCAAGTCTGTAATGGCGCGAAACATTCTAGTATTTAAAATGTGTATGTGATTGGATTTATCTATGTCCCAGTCTTGTCTCCCAAGAGTTGTGGTGCACAGCTTTGGCTAATTTTCCGATGCGCGATTCGATTTCGCTCGCATGATACGGCAATTCCTCCAAGAGGAACAAATAAACCGTTCTTTTCATGCTTTTCGATTAAGTTTAGACTGAATTGGGGTAAGAATATATTTAATACATGTAGATTCTGGTCCTATTTTAGTAATATCGCTGCTATTTCGCCGTTTAACAAGATGATGTGGTCGTGTATGGGCGCTTTGACTCGTCGTAGTTTGCACAGGATTGAAGATATAATATATATAAGCGCGAATGCCAAAAGCAAAGTGTAAGACAAAGCGAATGTATCATGCGGTTTATTTACATTTTTGAACAATTGAACTTCTATACTTTTTAAAGTACGATGTGCTTCTGAATTTCGCGATGGAACATATAGGTTCGCAAGGCGTCTAAATGCGAATATGAACTGTATTGTTTATGTTCAGAAGCCAGCCTCGTACCCAGGCGCTTTATTGGAAAACATAAAGGTTGCATTCAGCGTAATATAGAGATCTGTGGCTGAGATGTGCGGCGCGCAGGGGTGCTTGGGGAGGACGCGACGGGAGAACGAAGCGCCTGGCAGAATATGCAGATTTCCGGCTCCCATTTTTGCAAAAAGTGAGAAATGCGTGAAATCTACAATATGTAGATATATTTTGAAGAAGAATTGAACCTGCGACCAAAATTATGGATGATTTGGAACGATCGTTTCAAGAACTATCATTTGAAGGTAGCTTTATACTGAATTTTTTATTTTAATACGACTATTTTGACAAATCTCGTTTCGTAAATAGTGTATGGGTATACTCCTAACTCCTCTGTGTTACTATGCAGTCGCGCAGTATTTAACACTATTTAAATTCATCTTAATTTCCTTACAAAAGTATCATCAAGCTTGGAGGAGGAAAGGTATACGTTTGGTATCGAAGAATTGAGTGTTAGAGGTCAGTGCTTACTGCTTAGCCTTAGTTGCCTTGGGATTTAAATATTTCCTCTATTGATATTAATTAAACAATAATACATTTTATTTTCATTCTATATCAAATATGCTATCAAGTTGCAATTTATATGCGTGTTACTAGTAATATACAATAACAAACTCCAGGTCAGATTGTTACGAGCACCCCACAGAAAGAGGGAGGAAAAGAATCATTTCACAGCAGGGAAACATGCTTTAACCCGAATGCTTGGAGTTTGTGTGAATTTAAGAATAAACATAAGTACATATTATATATCAAGACTCAATTGTCAGAGATTGGGGCTGTTATTCATAAATTATACATATTTGTGCTTTTCATAGGTAGTGGAAGATATAAATCACCAAATTTATGCTCTGAATTAGAAAGGTTGTTGGACTATTGTGAAGACTCCAATGTCCATGAAAAACAGACATTATTAATGAGTTTACATGGCATTCTGATAATAAAAAGAATACTTTGACTCGGGGAATTAAAGAAATTTTCCCACATTCTACAAAAAAGAAAATAGTTGTTGGATGTGAAAATATGTATCTTCTTTTGAGAGTATAATGTAGTAAATAGGACTATGGAACAATATAATTTATACATGTATTATAGTAATTTCTTGGAATACTGTACACAACCTTCATCTACATTGTGTGATGTATATAAGTATATTGCTGTAGGGATGAATTAAGTCTATTGTTTGCTTTGTGGTACATCAGTTGAATTAATTTCATGTACAGTACAGTATACCAAAGAGTGTTGGTGTTATAAAGGAATATTAATGAATTACTCTCTACATAGGTTTCAATAGTTAATTTTTCTTAACATTTAATACAGTTATTTACACTAATTTGTTAATGAAACCACATGGTAGTAAACCATAATATTTCTGTAATGCAGAATGATAATATTTCTGTAATGCAGAATGAACTTAATGTAATGGAAAATGGCTTAGATGAACAGAATCAACTGCTGCTATTACTGCATTAGATGATGGAAACATTGAACTGGCTAATGAGCTTAACAAACATAGATTCAAATTAAACTCAGCATTGACAAAAACGTACCAGGTCAAAGTCAAAATTCTTAGTGTTTCTGGAGGTGTTAAAATAACAGATTCCCAAGAAAACCAAATTAATAAAGAAGTCAAACAGATGGAAGAAATGTGCAACCTAAATCTGATGTAAATCATTGCATATTCGAGTAGATACTCTTCTTTCAGCGCTCGTAAATAACTGTTTGCGCCTTAATATTCGAAAATGATGAATAATACAACGCAGTGATAATTTTTGCACAAAATCTTTCCCAAATGTACCGCCCGGTGGATAGGGTGGACGGCAATTTGCTCATTTGCATCTATGAAATATATGAATAAATCGTCCGCCGGCGCCATATTTGTTGCATATTCTGCCAGGCGCTTCATTTGTCGCGTCCTCCCCAAGCACCCCTGCGCGCTCGCACATCTCAGCCACAGATCTCTATATTACGCTGAATGCAACCTTTATGTTTTCCAATAAAGCGCCTGGGTACGAGGCTGCGTCTTGTTACATATCGAAAGTAGAATTCCGATGTAAGTTAACAGAGAATTAATTCCAATTCTGAAGCAGTATTTCTTTAACTTACGAAAATAATAGACATTTTCAGGTATATGGCAATATCTCACGATATATAACAGTAGAACATTATCCATTGCGCTATATAATTCTCACAAACGGCTAAATTGATTCGTTGAAAAAATACGCCGTATGTACCAACTTGCGTGAGTTTAAAATTCAGCTGTAAACGACATCGCATCAGGCCAAGCGCGCTTAAACGTTACTTTGGTTGTACAATAACCATAAATTGTCGAGCTAACATTTATTGCCAACATTTTCTATTACACCTTCGCGGCAATCGGCACATACTTTAAATAATGCATAAACGTCTACACCAGCTATGCCGGAAGCTAACATACCGACTGTCATACACATCAACACGTCGCTTATTGCCAGTTTATTATATAACAGTGGCGAAAACAACAATCTATTATTAGATCTATACCATCACTCTGAAGGCAAACTTTCTAAACTTGCCTTGAGCATCGATTAATAATTATGATAAGTTGGTATTACCTGCATGGATTGATAAAAATTTCACCTTGAATCTGCCGGGCGAATCTGTCGCAGCTAGGGCCTAATAGTTCCTCCAAAACGTTGGTGTTTTAAAAGATTATTGTCATAGAAGACTTTCGAATTGATAGGACTTACTGATAATCCAATTATTCACCAAATAAAAAGAGGTGATTACGATATATCTCATGAAGTCGGCGTGTTAAATCGGTAGACGCGAAATAGTTATGCGTGTGAGTATACGAATTAATGTATGGATTGTCCAGCGCATGCGTTAATCGGGGATTAAATGGCCTTATCTTTTCCACTTGGTAAGGCTGTTTCCACTAGGCGGAATTTTGCATGAAAGGCATTTTTGATTTGTATACAGTTTAAATTGGGAAACCATGGTTCAATTATCGTTTTTGACTAGTATTCCTTTAAAATATCGTAATATTACCCCAAAATATACCGCAATCCAGAGAATAATTCTTAATTACTAGAAGTAATCAAAGATTAGCAAGTGCGTTCGGTGGTCGGCTATAGATATCTTGATGTGGATCTAAATCCTTAAGGCAATGCGAATTAAAGTCTGCTGTGAATCTTCAAGAAGTAAACGCGGTTTGTTTACTTTATGAGCAAATAAAATTCCGGATATCGCATGGTTAATCCAACGGAAGATAGCTTCCTGATGCTTTGATGAGAATTATCAGTCATATTGCAGACACTTCAAATCAAAATAATCGAGTGTACAATTCCTACAACTTCTTAATAAACAAGCGAATATGAAAGCCAGATGCCCGCGGTCCTAAGCAACAGCGTATTATCCCAAAATACGGAAAGCACGTGAAATTAGGACACGGCACAAAAACCGGAAATCAGAGCATACGCAAAAACACGAAACCGAGGCAAATGTTACATCCAAAAATCTCGAAATGACATAGCATCCAGCCGTGACGTCACGATTAGGAAGCGTTCTCCTTCGTCGAACGCAAAAAGTTTGAAGCATGAGTCGGAAAAAAATCTATAAGCCGGTTCACAAAAATCGCTATAATTATACGTAACAGTGCCCTTTCTTTTTACCCGTTCACTTTACTTTAGTGGGTGCCATTTTATAGTTTACAGATTTTATATGTTTTCATTGTAATCACCAATAAAAATCATCAATAAAAATCCCATAAGGGTTTGTAAGGATAATACATGTCATGTGACTTGATTGTTTTAATTTCTTTGGTAAACATTATACTGTCTAAATTATTAATTAAGTTAACACTCTTTATCAAATAATCGAATTGAAATGACTGCGGTGATTATCTCCTTTAAATATTAACCACTATGCTAGCAAAACTTGTATTCAATAACATTGTACTCGGTAATATCCGGTATTAGTAGCTTAAACCTCCATGCATGGTTACTGTTTAACAACATAATTCGATCTGTCCTTGATATCTGGAGTGGTGGACTTACCAAGAAGCAAATGGCAGTATAGAAAGAGTTCAGAGAAGGGCTCTTAATATTGTATATGGACATACTGGATATAAGGATTTTAGTAGCAAATTAAAGAGCAGAGTAAATTGGAATCCCTGGAAGAACGCAGAAACAAAGCATGTATACTGATGATTAAAGATTTGATCGACCCGAATCACCGGCCTTATGAATTGTTGCCAAAATAAATAAAAAAACGTTAGGGAAAAGGAAACGAGATTGAATAAAGATAGATTATATAATTATTTCTGCAGGACAGAATGTTGTACAGACGTAGTCCATTAGTCCATGATATAGACTTGTATAACTCATTTTTAAATATAGGTAATTTTAGACGCATTTAGTATTAATAGCCAAGAAACGCGGAGCAGGGTGGCTCGCTGGGCTTTAGCCGCACCAATAATTTTTCCGTAATTAGTCTTTAATTTTGAATATTTTTTAGTTAGCTCAAATTTACAAGCAATACAAGTGCCAAACATGCTGGAAACCGGCTTTACATTGGACAAGCATTTGACCATTAAAACAGCGTGGTTATCCATGTCAAAATATTGACATCATAACCAAAGCATGGTTATATCGTTTAATGTTTGTATATGAGCGCCAAACATGCTGGAAACTTTACATAGGGCAAGCATTTGACCATTAAAACAGTGTTGTTATCCATATCAAAATATTTGACATCATAACCAAAGCATGGTTATATTGTTTAATGTTTGTATATGAGTACCAAACATGCTGGAAACTTTACATAGGACAAGCATTTGACCAATAAAACAGCGTGGTTATCCATGTCAAAATATTTGACATCATAACTAAAGCATGGTTATATTTAATTTACTTACGTGGTGTACCTACAAGTTATTATAATTACTAAAGTCGCCATGCAATCATACAAGAAAATTATTACATGGTTATATTGTTTAATGTTTTTTATATGAGCGCCAAACATGCTGGAAATTTTACATAGGACAAGCATTTGACCATTAAAACAGCGTGGTTATCCATGTCAAAATATTTGACATCATAACCAAAGCATGGTTATATCGTTTAATGTTTGTATATGAGCGCCAAACATGCTGGAAACTTTACATAGTATAGAATGTGATCTAGGAATTTTCAAAACCTCCTCATAAGTCAAAACACTTTAAATTTCGAAGTGTCCAGCAAACACCGAATAAGTGTAAATACCCACAATTTTGGTGTAAATCAGTATATTATACCCACAAAGTTCAAATTTACCCTTCGAGGTGTATTATTACACCAATATTGTGTTTTCTCAACACGGTACCGGTTAAGGATATAGCTAAAGTTAATCTTCTTCGGCGTAAATTTACGCCAAACGTCGTTAAATAAACACCATTCTTGTGTAATAAGGCACCACTTTGGTGTAAACTTTATCGCTATAGTTTTGTGTTGAATGAGCTAGAGCTGAGGCGTGCATGCACTGGAAGCTTTTGTCGGAAAAAAGTTGCAAATGGGTTATCATTTTTTATATTCCTAAATAACTAAATAACAGTTATGAGCAATAAGTAATAATCGAGCAAAGAGAAAATTTCGAAATATACATAGGCCTCTGAAATCGCCGCAAATGCCTCTCAAAGGATTATTGGAAAATAATACATACTATGTAAAGTTTCCAGCATGTTTGCCCCTCATAACAAACATTAAACAATATAACCTTGCATGCTTTGGTTATGATGTCAAATATTTTGACATGGATAACCACGCTGTTTTAATGGTCAAATGCTTGTCCTATTTGCAATGCTGTCATTGCTGCGAACCATTTTTAGCGCATCCTTGATATTAAGTACCTTACAGTTAACGTTTCGTTTACAGTCAACGTCATCGGCAAATGCTCACATCAGATATGCCTCGTAAAGGCTCTAGCTTTATTTACATCACATTTTAGAAGCTTAAAAAGACGCAAAGATGTTTTTCCCAATGCGATGAAGTTCGTCAATTTCGCTGACGACGCTGAGTGATTTTTGATCGCTATTATTTTCTTTTAGCTGTGGCTATAATGCAATGCAACAACTTAAATATCAAATATTCAACCGAATATTTTCTACAAGTATCGTAACTAAGTAGCGTCGCCATCGATAAGTGGGTGGACAATTCATTCCCAGCTTGAAATTTGCATCACTTTAAATATAATAGGATCTTACTGAATATATGCACAACAGCAATGCACCAGTGCACGACTGGCTCCCAAGATTATATATGGAGGCCAGAATATTCTTTTGGTTTCATCTGATAAAATAGGAATGCATTAAGGGCAATAACCCCTAAAAGTTAGCAAAGGCCCTTTGCACCCACGACACAATCTTATATACACACACTGACACCCTGATTATATCTCTCTATATACTCTATATACAATATTATAGATAGAGACAGTAAGACCATATATTATACGATGAAATACAGAAATTAAAATAAACCAGAACGCTCTCGTCATGCTTAGACTGATTTTAAACTGCACTCACGACCTATCATGAGTAATTATTCGACAGTCTAATGGTTAGGATGCGTATGGGTTTGCAAAAATACAAATAAAATTCTATAAACCTGACACTTAAAATACTTCAAGATATTAGAGAGATAAACTTCGACGTTGTATGCTAAACGAGGCCTGGCTACGCTCGGATGCACGTAACGTCGTAAGCACTATGCTATAATTCCGCTTGCTATATACAGTTGATTCAATTAACGTTGTCCTTCCAAAACCATATAAACGTTAAACTCTGAGTGCTCAAGGGATCATGATAAATTTAGACTTGTATAGTTGGAAATTTGGCAGCGCAAGAATATCCAAGAAGCTTCACGATAGAAATATACTCATGCTACGTGCAAGGCAAGTTTCTGAATTGAAGGGATTACAAGGTTCGCTCAGAGAACAACCTTAATTGAATTAGCTGTATACAAATCACATTACAACTTGAAGACATATTCAAGATTGTAACTGATTAACCATGAAAGGCAATGTCAAGGGATACCAGAACATATCTGATTGGTATATTACCTACCCGCGTTTACTTCTTTAACAATCGATCGTATGAGTTATGACCATGACATTCTATCGTTCTTTTGAATTTGGATTTTAGTCTAAATCTTCTCCGTCTACGCACAACGATCGTCCGTTGTAGCACATGGTTATACTTTTACACCTAACTATTGCTGGTGACTGATCTAATACAGCCAATGGCAATATATTTCAGAGCTTTACCGGTAAACAAGACCTTGAATTCGTGATGCTCACTTGTGCTGTGGTCATTGCGGGGTGGGAAAATCTTCGAATTCTTTGCATAGCTTCGAATTCAATTCTTAGTTATTCTATGTAGACTTTCAAACTGCATAATATATACGTTATATATAGCGAGTATATATAACCGTTATATGTAATCGACTTCTATCTGGTTGTGTAATAAGGGCATTATAACAACCAGTAGCGTTGCCAGGCTTCAGAATTTCTTGGAGGAAAACTGGTATTTACTGGGAAAAGATAGAATTTTCAGTGTACCGTTATGGCGTAGTCAGCCCAAAATATACGAGGGGTACAAGCATAGGTTTATCAGTTTCAGCAGGGGTACAAGCATAGGTTTTAAGGCTGTTTTCCACTTCAACGGTATCGCAGGCTCGTAGCGACACGCAGCGTATATCATTTTCTTGGGCACTTGGATAGAAGGATTATTGACTTCGAATAAACAAAGGAATACGTACGCTACAGTCACCTTACGATA